AGTCTCAGTATTTGCAGCCTTAGCGCTCATCGTGTGCGTCATCTGCAGTGCCCTTACTTGCAGCCCGCCGTCCGACTACTTTCATGGTATGTCAACCAGCTCACGCTCCCCGTCTTTTGATCATGTGCTGACTTCTCGCAGGCAGTTGCGATTCCCCACAAGAACAATGGAGACAGACCTTTAATGTCGTCTTCTCAACAACCGTCGACGTCGTCACGGACCTCATGATCATGGCGCTCCCGATCGCAGTACTACCCTCTTTACAACTCGACAGGAAGAAGAAGATTGGACTCGGAATTGCGTTTTCGCTGGGTATAATCATCATCTGCGTCGCCGTTGTTCGCATGACAAAAGTTATCGTTGGAAACCAGGTCGATCTCGTGGGCCTAGCCATTTGGGGCGCCGTGGAAACAGCAACAGCTCTTGTTGTCGGTTCGTTACCGGCACTCAAGGGCTTGCTTACCCGAGGCATCAAGAAGTACGCGACGTCGAGGAGTGGTAGATCAGATCCCGCCGATTACGGCAGTGGAAGTGGCCAGCGTCGTCGGGGCCAAGGCTCAGCATTGACGCCTCGGGCTATTATGGTTCCTGATCGCATCCCTCTTGATGATGTCCATCACAGTAGCCAAGTTGACGGTGGGATATATGTCCACAAAAACGAAACATTCACGATGGCTACTACGAGGGATGATAGCTCTTCTCAGAGCGATGGGGATGAAGTAGCTATAGTGAGGAGAGCACCAAGATTAGAATAGGTCATGCGATATAATATATGCGTTCCATAAGATTGTAGTGACACACTGCGTTTTTTCAAGTGATGGTTACCCTACTCAAACTCTCTCCACTGCCTCACGACCTCATACAAACTATCATTGTGCCCAACATTTCCAGGGAAAACAACATAGTTTAGCCCTGGCCACTTCGACTCTGGCTCATCGCATCGCCACATCGGAACTCCAGGCGCAGCTTGGCCAACAATAAGGGCACGCTTCATCCTCAATCCTTTCGTCGCCATGTCCGAAGATGTAATTCCGCCCTTGGCGATGATGTATCGAGGCTTCTGTTCTAGTCCCTGCAAGAACGACACCAGTGCCAGCGCAATCTTTGAGCCAATATCCAAACTCTCGATTTCGTCTTTGCCAACGATGAGCTCCCGGCTTGTCATGACTAGAACGTCCTGCCCGTTCCTGATGCGCTGTGATGCAAGGTCAATTGCCTTTGCGACATCTTCTTTCGCGGCCTCGTCGGATTTGAGGAGGGCTTTCACATTAAGCGTAATCGTCGTCAGGTTACTTCCCGACTTCTGAATCAGCGAGTCCAATTGCGCCGTGGTCTTGGGTACATATGAACCCGCGATGATGAGGCCACCGACGCTCTTGGATAAACCGAGTTGTCCTGCTGAGAGTGGTGGGATGGATGAGATGCCCAGACGTGCTGAGACAAAAGCAGCGCCTGTTCGGTACAGAAACTTCTTGCCCTGCTGCGACGCTTGGAGAAGAGCAGTGACTACAACGTCGATATCTTCGTCTGCTGCCGCATTGATGACCAGCACAACAGGAGTTTGGCTTCTCTTTGGGAGCTGCATGATCTTCTTCAGAACGGCTTCCGGACCGCCAATGCGAATAGTGTCGAGGTCGATTGAGTCAATGTTCTCTTGCGTGATGTTACCCTTGGACTTCTCCACGACGTAGTCGCGAAGATTAGAGCTCTTATATCCAAAAGTGGCATCTTTCGCGAAAGGCGTGTCAGCTGCAGGGATGAGCTGATCACCCTCATGAACGTAGTGGATATCGTTTATGGTGTATCGTCCGCCCTGGAGGAAGAACGGGCACAGAATCCACGCGTCAAACGCGCCATTCACATGCTCCACGGCCTCAGGCTCCAGCGGGAAGTGACCTCTCAAGATAGAATCACCGCGTAGCACAATTTCGTACGGAAGGTTTGACTCTTGAGCAGCTGTCTTTAAATTGGTACAGATCTCGATCATGAGATCACGTGCTTGCTGGGGATGAAGGGCGCGTGAGTTGGTGAGGATGAAGAAGCCATTGCCTGTCCCGACTTGTTTGAAAGCTGAGACTAGGTTCTGAACATCCCAGACTGTTAGGATGGTGATGTCGTGGCATGTTTGTGTGCCTGTTGGGTCATCGTCGAGGATAATTAGAACTGGAGCTGGTGCGGAGGGGTTTTTTATGTTAAAGCGTGTTTGAGTGCGGAGTTGTTGATGGGAAGCTGGAACCTGGGGCAACGATGAGAGAGCCTCAGCCAAGATCAATGTATTAGTCTGTGCCATTATGAAGGAGTGATGATGCTGATGATGCTTATCGACCTTGATAGGCAATGGTGTAGATGTCAATTGAGATAAATAATCATTGTCTTCCGATTCAGTTTAGGGTAGCCGACAGTTGCACCAGGTTCTTATCCGATATCCGCGAGCTGGTCCGTGTCTATCGGTCTTCACTCCTATTGACTACCTGGCTAGCCTGGAGCCCCACCAGCCATTCTAATCCGGCCAAGCGCTGAAAGTCCACTGGAGACAAAACGCCTAGTAGTGAAGTTCAATGTCATTCAGCAGGCTGACATGTAATATCTATTAAAAATAGTAATGAGAATAATCTAATCTAGACTTACTTATATAACTCGCTATGCCGCTGAGTAATCTGGTTTAGATAGCCAGAAGGGAGTCATCATTTACCCTCAAGAACTTATCAACTTGAATCACATTGTCTGGACCCTCTTCACCATCCTCGTCATAGGCGTCATCCTCGTTAAGCCTCAACATGTTAGAGGGAGAGAATGTTACCGGAGGTTTGGCATTATCAATCTCACTTCGGAACGGGGCAAACGGGGGAAACACGACGCTGCCATCAGACTTGAGTCACCAGCTCTTGAACATGGTCCGCGAATCAGGCAGCGTATTGTATTTACTATTGATTGCCTTATGTTCGTAGGCAATCTCTGGCGTGCTGCAGCCAGGGCAGGCGAGGATAGATGTCGCCAATCTTTTTCTGTATGTAGCGGACCAGGGCTTAGAGCGTCAGTAAGTCAGCGTTGCGGAGAGTCTAGTCGCCATCAGTGACATCATAAAACCTGGCCAGAGACTTTACTGGACCTGGGCCGTAGGCCAAGATTGATACCGAAATACGCGCAAAAATCATCCTCAGACCTGGAGGTCCCCTATTAGGTCCGTACCGCCTAGAATTGGTGGCCCAATCGACATGCATCCTTTGTTTTTCTATTTCTTTTTTTAAAATAGGCAGGTATGTGTCCCATCTGTATCTAACACTAAACCATGTTGGAGTACCCAACATAACACTAAATCATTACCCGACACTTATTTAACCTCTACCCGACTTACCTCGGAATATTGCCAACAGCTCAATATACAGACTAAAGATAGCTATCGATTCTCGGCCCAGGTCCATTCCGGATAAGGGAATTAAGGGTATATCTTCTCGGTGACTCCCCGCCTTAACTGCCAACCCTTTATCTTCCTTTTCCAACCTTTTACCATTGATAGCTTTTATTATATACCTATAATGAGTCCTACATCTTTCTGTGTCATTTTTGTGCCTGGTGCATGGCATCCAGCCTCAGTCTTCAAAGCGGTTGGCGACATCCTCGAACAGGCCGGGTTCAATGTCGACTACGTAGACCTTCCTTCTGTCGGCGCAGATCCGTCCATTACCGATTTCACCGCCGACGTCAAAGCCATCCAACAGGCTGTATCGCAAGCTGCCTCTAAAGGCCAAAAGGTCATCCTCGTCGCTCACTCGTACGGTGGCATCCCTTCAGCGGAAGCCATCGGCGCTTTTGGGTCTGGCGGCGCCGTTGAGCACTTTGTCCTCTGCTGCTCATTTATCATCCCGAAAGACAAGTCACTTATCGCTGCCTTTGGGGGCCAAGACCTCCCGTGGTGGGACATTGCGGAGGATAAGCTTTCTGTCGAAGCATCGACTCCGGAGAAAATCTTCTATAATGACCTATCTCCCGAACAAGTCGCGGCAATCGTCCCGGCCCTGAAGCCACATAGCTACCAGGTTTTCCATACACCTCTGACGAACGAAGGGTGGCGACAAGTGCCGACTACATATATTTACTGCTCTCTGGATGCTGCAATCCCTATTCACATCCAGAAAATGATGGTGGAGGAGACTGCCAAAGGTGTTGACATCAACACTGAAGAGGTTAATGCTGGACATAGTCCTTTTATCAATATGCCTGATGCTGTCGCATCCTGCATCCAGAAGCTTTTGAAATAAAACATTTATATTTCCTTTATTAGCTTTATATTATAACGATTAAGCCAACATCGAGAGACTGACAGTCACATCGTCATTGCTTGCAAAAATACCTTCCAACATGGTCTTCATCTCTTTCTTGGCATTGGCGCCATCTCCATTGTCGCCAGTCATTTCAGAAAATCTTTAGCAGAGAGCGATCCACGTCGTAGTGTGCTGCAGGGTATTGAACTACTTCTGACGCATGAATTTACCATTTAAAATCAGATTTTGATGTCACTTTTCTGAAACCAGCTAGCCTTAATTGTGAGAAATACAGGTACCACTGCACCATTATCCTCCTACCTTATCCAAAAAGGCGTGATGGGTTAGAAGGCTTTAAATGAGTTAGAGTGCCAACACGCATTTTTGCAATAGTGGCTGTTAAACTAGATGTTAACTTATTAAACTGACGATTTTTAGTTTGTATTGTTTTCTCTAAAAGCCATAAATAACTAGTAGAAAACTTGAATCTTGAAGGCTTGTTTAGTCTTTTAAAGCTAATTGATTCTTGAATTTATTAATATGTTTCATTTGTACAGAAACGCGGACTAACGATAACCCCGTGGACCTCCGCATTTCCCCAGCGACAGATCCCTACCATATTCGCTCTAGTTAAAGGAGTGATGTTGGCTGACTAACTTCCCCCGCGTTTCGAGTCTGCTCAACTTTGACTTGTTTTTTGGTAATGAGCCAGTCGCGAGAAGGACATATCGAGCCAACATGTCAAAACGGAATGGAAGTACTGCGACGCAAGAGTATGAGGGGAGTGTGGTACGTTGGTAGTGCAATTGATCTGCAGGGTGCATGGGCGCTGATCAGTGATAGCCTCCGCCAAAACGAGTGGCGATAACTTCCAATTCAGAACATCCCGTCGCTCATATCTCGAGACATATCAGGGCATGCACCACATGTCGGAAGCACAAGGTAACATGACTTACAGTGGGGGATAAAATCAAATGACTAACCTCTTTAGATTAAATGCTTTATGGACGATGCTGGACCACCATGTCGACGGTGTAAAGAGAAGAAGCTGAGCAACTGTGCCGTGAGCAAGAATTTGCAGACCATCATCGATGAAAAGACGGAGTATGTACACAGTTAACAATAGTGAGAATTTGCTGACTATATCAGGCTATCCGAAGCCATGCTATCAGATCTCGACCAGATGTACACAGCAGTCAAGGAGATGAGAAGTATAATGGGCTTACCAGAATTACCGCCATTACAAACATCAAGAATGAACAAGCGAAAGGATTCATCAGCACCGCCACCACAAGAGTCAACGATACTTCAGCTGGAGGATAATGATGGCCCATCATGCGACAACTCGCCGAAACTCACGCCCGAAGATGATAGACTGCCTCACGCTCCTATTCATTCTCTCTACACTCTCACGAGAATGAGAGCACTTCGATCGCCGGGAAGTGGGAATGAGAATCCGAGCCAAGCCATCAATGACTTTATCTCTCAAGGACAGATCTCACTGGCTGACGCTGAACGGCTGTTTTGTGTTTATCGAGATCGTTTGGACGGGTTCATCTACTCCATCGGCTGCCCTTACAAAACTCTCGAGCAGCTCCGTCGGAAGTCATCAATCCTATGTGCAGCTACACTGACAATTGCAGCGCTTCACGATCCCGCAGCGGATAAAGTATATGGTATCTGCAATTCCGAACTTCGTCGATTGACCGAAAAGTCGATGCTGCAACGGCAAGGCGATAGAGACTACTTCCGAGCTCTCAGCATCGCTTCATACTGGCTGAGTGATCTGTCTTGGACATTATCAGGTCATGCGATAAGAAGAGCTGCAGAATGCAATATCCACAACAGTTACAGTCTAGCCATAAAGGACCAATCCGAAGAAGCCATGGACTCTGCGCGTATCTGGTCTATTCTTTACATCTGCGACCAGCACCTTGCTATCCTGTACGATAGACCGGCGATTATCCAGGACGACTGGCTGACGCAAGACTGGGAAGGTATTCTCAACTGTCCGCTGGCTACGGACCAAGATGAAAGACTCATGAGTCAGGTTGAGCTGATGGGTATCTTGCGCAACATCCGACGATTATTCGGACCTGATAAAGGAGAAGAGATTCCTAGACTGTATTTGAGTCAGATTGGACACTATCATCGGCAGCTTGATCAGTGGATCACGAAGTGGACCGATCGACTCCCAGGTATGTCTCCAGCTTCATTCTTACACAGGACTAACAAGTTACAGAGGGCCATCCCAATATTGGAGCATTCCCACGAAAAGGCGCTCTCTTCCACTTTCACCTCGCCCAGCTATACCTCTACTCCCACGTCTTTCGCGGCCAATCAAACCAAATACCCAGCCACTTCCTCGACACAGCCTCAATGGCAGTGACTTCAGCATCAGCCATCATCGACATCCTCCTCACCGACCCTGATCTCTCCACCAGTATCGTCGGGATCCCATCTTATCTTCTCTCCATGACAGCATTCGCAGCCATGTTCCTCGCCAAAGTCTCACATAAGTACGGAGATAACCTGTTCAGACGCGATCAAGCCCTGGATCAGATTACTCGACTAATCAGCCATTTTCGGTCTTTGTCCATGGGGAAGTGGCATTTGGCGAATCTTATGATTAGAGGACTGGAGACTGTGACTAGTCTTTTGACCTCGCATGGAGTGCAGTATAAAGTGCAGAATGCTATATCATCGATGATGCCTGGAAATGAGGCCACTCAAGGTCTTGAAGATGTCTACAACACTAATCCCGATATGTTCACCGGGATTGATGGGAACACAATTCCAACATGGGATACGACCTTTGGGCTATCACCCATCTTTGGCTTTGACCCTTCGTTTCTTGATGTCGATGGGTACATGCAGTCAATGGCTATCTTTCCAAACACAGAAGGATCTTGAAAGATTATCTAAATGTTGAAATATGGAACGGAACTTAAAAGTCCCCTACTACTTCAGTATCTCACTACCTAATTTGGCCTCGTAAAATACTCTGAAACTTGAGCATTATTCTTGACCCTCTGTACACACTTAGGATAGCTATGAATAGGTTGTGAACTGGTATGAGAGAAGTGATTCCATCTACATTATAACTAATCTAGACCATCACTCGGTCTGCCTTATAGACATTGGCTTTCACACCAATGCACTATTCATTCAGGCTCAACGGACTATTCACCCAACGACACAAGAGGCCTACGGCTACTGTTGGACCCTCCATCAGTCGCCATTAATAAACCTGACCGCCTTTACAAAGATGAACAGGAACTTCAAAAGAGTCTTAAAAGTGCCCCTCACCACAGAAGGTCTTGACCCCGCCAACTTCGTGGTAGCCAACAGAATTCTTCTGCTTAGCATAAAAGTCCTCGCTCCAGCCAGGCTTGAACGAGCCGCATTTCCTGCTGATGTCACCGACAATAATGTTCCAGACTCTGTCGCCGTAGCAAGTCTGGGGCGTGCCCCATACCCCAAAAGGAGGAGGCGAGTTGGCGATGGTGACATAGTTGCAGTAAAATACTGCCACGTTGCCTCTGACAGAATAGATGTGGTGACCAGACTGAAACTGGCGACCATTGCCACATTGGTTACCCAAGTCATGGACAGCATTGTCCGTGGAAGCACGGTCCATCTCCTCTGAATCTCCATGAATCGCAGCCCTGTGCCTCCTTGTCTTCGGTCAAGACCGGAAACGTCGTCATTGGCCGTGACTTGGTCTACCCGAGACTCATTCTTGGGCCTATCGCCGTCGGTAAGCTGGGAATGGTGGGCAACGCCAGCTTCGTGAGCCTAGGGTCAGATCTATTTTATTGAGTATTTGGCGCCTGACGAGGCCTTTTGGACTGGCTTATTATATCATATCGACAGATTTGACGAGTCAGTATAAGGATCTCTGTCCTTTCGGGTACAGTTAATGCCTAGTCCATATGCTGATTTAAATTGGCGGTTGCTGTTTCCAATGCGCCCTGTGCAACTGATGGAAGCGAAATGATTCCCATCTATGCAGTTATCCCAAATCTTTATACAGCCTTTATCCAAACTACAAGTCTACATGCCTTGAATATTCCTTGGCCGGTATTCGCTCTCCAAATACTCCAGCTCCTCCTTTGTAAACTTTACATTCAGCGCCTCCACCGACTCCTTAATTCTCTTCTCGGAATTCAACCCCAAAATCGGATAACATCCTTTCTGCAGAACCCACGCCGTAGCAACAAGCGCCATACTAATCCCTTTATCAGCAGCAACTTTCTCAACCCGATTTACAATCTCCAGATTCGCATCTGCAAACCACGCTTCCGTCTTCTTATCACTCTGACTCCTAATCGACTGATTCGCTTCATCATTCTTGCTCGACAAAGGCTTGGCGAGAAGACCACGCGCGATGGGACTCCAGGGAATGACGCCGACGCCCGTGGCTTCGCAAAATGGGAGCATTTCTCGTTCCTCTTCGCGGTAGAGGAGGTTGTAGAAGGGCTGCATGGAGATGAAAGGCGTCCAGCCTTTGGATTGGGCGATGTATTGGAGGCGGGCGAACTCCCAGGTGTACATTGATGAGGCGCCGATGTAGCGGACCTTGCCGGATTGCACGACGTCGTGAAGAGCGCGCATGATCTCTTCGGGGGGTGTTTCACGATCTAGACGGTGGATTTGAAGGACATCTGCACTCTCAGCATGTCGTTTACTTTATCAAGTCAGACAGACTTACCAATGTAGTCGGTTCCAAGACGTTCAAGACATTTATCAACAGCATGGAAAACATGCTTCCTACTCAACCCCATCTGATTCACAAGTGGCCCGTCATTGATACTAGGAGGTCTTGTACCATCGTCCATGACCGGGTTAAAGATTTTTGACAAGATAACGACCTTTTGACGAGGAATGTTGAACTTCTTCAACGCCTTGCCAATGATGACCTCCGACTCGCCATTGGAGTACGTATCAGCTGTATCCCAGGTGTTGATGCCCTGGTCGTAAGCAGCTTTGAGAAGCTTCAGGCCATCTTCCTCGTCGAGAACCCAGGGCGAGCCTTGCCATGAGCTCGAGCCAAAGGTCATGCAGCCGAGGATGACTTTTGAGATCTTGAGGCCAGTGTTGCCGAGTCTGGGCTGTTAGCAGAGGACTGGCTGGTGGTGGAGGTGCTTACCTAACGTATTCCATTTTGAAGACACTTGCGAGGATGGTACGAGATGGTGATGTGAGTAATGAACTGGTCTTTCTGTTATGTTTTTAAATGCCGCTTTTATGCCATTACCCTGTTGGAAATTTACTTACCCGGCTCGAGGCAACGGGTCATCTTGATGCCGATCTCGCCAACGCTGATATCGCCGAACATTTCCTTCCCCGCATTATTCCACCGGGATCATCAACCCCTCACCTCCAACGCCATTCGATCGGCCATCCTTCCAATTGGTCAGCGAGTCATTCATAATGGGTTTTCGTTCGGGCTAATATCCGCTGAGATCGTGGGGAAGTCATACAGAGGAGGTCATGTTTTAAACCACCAAGACAAGACCCATTGCAGCATCGACAATCAGCCCAATACCCGCAAGTCATCATGGCACCAAATATTCAGACTATTCCTATTCCTTCAGCGACAGTTCAATCGCACGCCTCGAATTTGTTGCAACTCCCTGACAAGACTGTGCTCTGTACGTGGTTTGGTGGTTCACAAGAAGGACTGCCTGACATCAGCATCTGGCTGTCTCGACTAGAACCAAGATCATCATCTTGGACTACACCACAGAAAATCTCGTTTGATGAGAATAGAAGTTGTCAAAATCCAGTCTTGTTCAGAGCGCCTAATAATGGTGATATCTGGTTACTTCACACTTCGCAAGACGCGGGTAATCAGGATGGCGCTTATATCCTGAAGCGCACATCGTCTGATCAGGGCCGTACTTGGTCTGAGGCTAGTCGACTACTGCCTGACGTGACTGGTATCTTTATCAGACAACCCATCGTTATCAATGGAGACGGTACCTGGATCTTGCCAGTTTTCTACTGTCGCACAGAACCTGGCCATAGATGGATTGGCAGTGACGACATCTCTGGAGTCCTTTACTCAGATGATAATGGTGTATCATGGAAAGAGAAGCAAGCACCAGATAGCGTCGGCTCAGTCCACATGAACATCCTCCCCCCAGCATCTGGCTCTTCATCTTGGGTAGCATTCTACCGCAGCCGCTGGGCAGACAATGTCTACCGCTCAACATCCAAAAACGGCATCGACTGGGAAACACCAAGAGCAACAACCCTCCCAAACCCCAACAGCGGTATCTGTGCAGCCCGCTTATCATCAGGCCATATCGCCATCGTCTTCAACAGATCCAACGCCTCAGCTGACACCCTCAAGAGACAAGGCTTATACGATGACATCACGCCTGAGGATGATAAGCGACCCAATCAGGTCACCAAGACAGGAAAGGATGCCATTTGGGGAACGCCGAGAAAGACGTTGACGCTTGGAGTTTCGGAGGATGAGGGGCTGACGTGGAGAGAGCGTGTGCTTGAGGATGGGGATGGGTTCTGTGGGACGAACAGTTCTTCGGGACAAGAGAATAGGGAGCTGAGTTATCCGAGTACTTATATTGAGAAGGATGGGGATAGGGATGTTGCGCACGTGGCGTATACTTGGCATCGGCAGCATATTAAATATGTGAGGATTGATAATGTTGAGGCATGGGTTAGATCCAATTAAGAAATAGATCTGAATTATATAAATCGCCTAAGAAACCGTGTTATAAATAGCGTCTGCAAAGACTGTTCTCAAGAAATGTGCATGGCTCTCCTATTGTTTTGAATTGATAGACCCTTTTGCTGATAGCTCATATCTCGCGCCGTTCACAAACGCCTTTCTTGTTTAGTGGGCTGTAAAAGTATTGTGTCTCTGTTATAATATCTATAATATGGTAATTAGGATTAATAAGTTCATGTATTTACTAATAAACCAGAATTTTACGCATCTGTACAGTTCTATGTATTAATGTTACATACCCTTAACTCTGTTGACTACCCCAGACGTCATTTCCAGTCCAGCCTGTTTACCCTACGTTAGAACGTAACCATTCCCTGGCTTTGTCTCGTATCTGAGATAGGTGTAAGGCCCATTCTAGTTACTCGCTTCGATTTGCACTCAATGTTTCAGCGCTGGCTCGGTCTGGTTTCCGGTCGAGACTGGTGCAATATCCGCGTGCCTCCACCCAACCAATAGGATTTCTGACCGCCGCCCCATGAGGGTACCAAGCGGACCACGCATTCAGTGCTTGCCACTAGGTTACCTAGATCAGGTGTAAACCATAGATCAAGAGCGACGATGCAAAAGATTGCCAACGTCAGAATGTTGTTAAAAAGAAGGGCATATTTAGGGTCAAGACATAATATCCACTTGCACTACAGTATCTGGGAGCACTTCAAGAAACAGTCAACGCGTACATAATACTTCCTTGCAAAAATACTCATCATGACTCAAACAAAGGATCATGTTCTCATAACCGGAGCCGGTGGATTCATAGGACAAGAACTCATCACATCTCTCCTCAAAGACATGCCCAACGCTCTCTTCACTCTCACCGACATCATCACACCCCCCATTCCCTCAGGAGCAGATCACCAGGTCACATCCCTCAAAGCAGACCTAACAGACCCATCAGCTGTTACATCCCTGCTATCCAACCGCTTCAGCCACGTCTACATCCTTCATGGTCTCATGTCCGGTGGTGCAGAAGCCAATCTAGATCTAGGACTCAAGATCAACGTTGACTCGGTGCGAAGTATCCTTGACGTGCTACGAACTGAATATCCTGGTACAAAGGTGATATTCGCTAGCTCATGCGCTATCTATGGTCAGACAGATCTAGTGACAGAGTTTGGCACACTTCCTCAGCCTAAGAGTTCATACGGCATTCAGAAATTGCTTGTAGAGCTTTTGATCAACGATTACTCTCGTCGTGGTCTTCTCGACGGACGTATCGTTCGATTACCCACTGTTATTGTCCGTCCAGGCGCACCATCAGCAGCTGCATCAAGCTTTGCATCAGGCATTGTCCGAGAGTCTCTCCAGGGAGTCCCCAACATTCTACCCGTTAGCAGAGACCTCCAGCTTTGGGTCTGTAGTCCTGCTACAGTTATCAAGAACCTCATCAAGATAAAAGACGTTCCAAAGGAGAAGTTCGGCGACTCGAGAGTGGTCAACCTGCCGGGCATCACTGTCACCGTGCAGGAGATATTGGACGCTCTGAAGGAGGTTGGTGGTGAGAAGGCGCTTGCGCAGATTGAGGAGAAGAGAGATCCGGCTATTGAGGCTATTGTAAATAGTTGGCCAGCGAAATTCGATGTATCTAGGGCTTATGGTCTTGGACTTGAGGCAGATGGAAAAGTGTTGGATGCTGTCAAGGCGTTCCAGGCAAAGATTGCCAAGGCTTAGTCTACCAATACATTGATGCTGCAATAGCAATTATGTGTAACGTGGCGATTGACAGGAGAACAAGACGTGTACGTGTGCTAGGCTTGCCCGTTCTGACCGACGTGCAGGATAATGTACACGTATCCGAGTGTTGGCTGCGGAAGTGTCGTACCTTGTTAATATTTCTAGATTTTATGAATCGCACTCAAGCCGTCATCCATACAAGAGATACGCCATGAGCTGGGAACTGGCCCACAATGGTGCAATAGCTAATGTCGGTGTAAGGCCAAGGCGAATGTCAGGCAATAGAAGTAGGAGTTAAAGCATGGAACAAGAGTGAAAGATTTGCCGAGTAATATTGTTTACATATGCTACTTGGCGAGTACATCCATGCGCTATCAAATTGTTCTCAGTTACGAAAACCCTCTATAACTTCGACAAGAGACGCGTGTACGTATTACCAACCACCATATGATCAACATCCAACGTATTCACCAAGCTAGGTCTCGCTTCACTCAGCGATGTGATGCCGCAGAGACGCATCGAAGTCTCAAGCTCATCTTTAAGAACTGTGATTTGTTAGCTTGGCCGCTGCAATTTAGACAGGAGAACTTACTGTGACATAGATGTTCTGCACCATCCTGGCCATGAATAAGAGAGTATAGGAATGGCCGACCAATACCAACAGCTGTTGCGCCAAGGGTGATGGCCTTCAGAATGTCGGATCCCCGCTCGAAGCCGCCGTCGATGTAGACTTCCAGCTGATCAAAGACTTCTGGGCAGTTCTTCCGTAGTTCCAGTAGGACTAGAATACTGGCTTGGGCACTGGGAAACATTAGCTTTAGTTTGTGACTGGAAGAAGGAATGACTTGCCCATCCAACGATCGTCCACCATGGTTACTTAACAGCACACCCTCAACACCATACTCCGCCGCCTTAATAACGTCTTCCGCAGTCTGAACACCCTTCAAGACAATCGGCAATCCCCCGCTAGCCTCGCGTATCCAAGCTAAGTCATCCCAACACAACGACTTGTCAATATACTGCGCCATGAGACGACCAAACCCACTCCCCTTCTTATCCTTGCTGCTCTCACCGCCACTTATCGCCGACTTGACAGTTTGTTCCTGTGCCGCTCTCTCATCCGCTTCGCGCTTCCCAGGCACAGGCGCATCAACCGTTACAAAGATTGCTTTGACGCCAAGATGACGTACGGTCTTGAGTAGCTCGACGGTCTTTTCGTGGTTGGAGTTGACGTATAGCTGGAAGAAAAATGGCTGTTTTGGTGGAGCGGCTTTAACGATTGACTTGAGCGAAAACGAAGCATTACTTGAGATCTATGATGCATCATTAGTAGAGAGCTTTGAGTACTGATTCATGGGGTTGCTTACACATTGGATGATGCCCTCGTTGGCCGCAGCCCGACTAAGCGCCAACTCTCCATCAGGATGCGCGAGTCTCGCCATAGCAGCAGGAGAAATAAAGAACGGCGCACTACTATCGAAGCCGAGAATACTGGTCTTGTAGGTCACCTGCGAAACATTTCTTAAGATCCTAGGTCTGATCATGACTCTCCGCACCAGCTCCTTATTCTTCCCGTGGGTGACGAGATCTGTTGCAGCAGACGAGTAGAACGCCCATGTTTTGGCGGAGAGCAAATATCGCGCTGCGTTTTCATAGTCTGGAGCGCTCAAGATCGTGTCTATTGCTGGGATTGTTTTAGTTGTTGGTGTCGAGAGAATCTCGTTCGTTTGTGTTGGTGATGCTGGAGGCGGTATGGGATCGATCTCGGTAATTTTAGGGGTCGGTCGAGTAATTGCAGACTCCTCGAGGAGGCCGATTAATTTCTCACTTGGAAGGTCTTCGATGATATCGGGCGCGTGGACATCATTGTAGAGTTCCGTGGCATCAGAACCAGCCAGATTCAACAGCACTACCCATCACGATTAGTCTCGCCGCAACCCCCAAATTTACTCAACATACCTTCTGGACCACCAGGATGCTCATTAATGAAATGTGTAATATCCCAGACCTTGGAATGAACAGCTATCCAGCAGTCACTCGCGGTGTTATGCTGCTTCAAGTCGTCCAAAGACACTCTTCTCGTCTCAATTGATGTCTCCATGATTGCCGATAGTGTTGACTGAACCTCCGAGAACAAAACAAGCTGTAGACCTTGAAAATAAGCTAAACACCAACGCTGCAATTTACTATCTCCACAAGCTGTGTACAGCCCGGGAATGCCGACTATCGGGATGGGTCACGGAGAACCCTCCCATTGGCTGCTTTCGCCCCCCCGGGAATGTCTCCGGGCGTTCAACCCCGCGTTGGGCCTTGGAGTTTTGGTGCACTTAAGAGCTCGGAGATAGCATAGACCATTACTGCATCAAGCAAGTCTTCACTACACAATCAGTTCTCTATCATTCACTAGTCAAGTCGTCAAAATGGAGCGCAGCACTATCCAAGCAAAGGCAAAGCCCCTCCCCAAAGGAGTCTACACCCCCGTCGTCACACTCTACAAAGCAGATGACCCAACTCAACAAGTAGACCATGAAGCAATGCACACCCAATGTCAAGCCCTGATCAAGGCAGGCATGCATGGTCTTGTCTATCTCGGCACGAATGGCGAACTAGTTCTCCTCGCGCGAGAAGAGCGCAAAGCCATCATCAAGACAGCCGTACAGGCCGCTTCTGCAGCCGGTGGACCTGACTACCCCATTGTGGCAGGCATCTCAGCACAGTCCACACAAGAGACGATCCAGAACGTCAAAGATGCAGCGGAGGCGGGTGCTGGTTTTGGGCTGCTTCTGCCGCCGAATTACTGGCCTAAAGCACTGCCCAGCCAAGCTCTAGTGTCGTACTTTAAAGAGGTTGCGGCTGCTTCACCGATACCCATTGTTATTTACAACTTCCCCGCTGTTACATCTGGTATTGATCTTGACTCTGATCAACTAGCTACTTTGGCTTCTGAACCGAATATCGTGGCGGTGAAGTTGACCTGCGGAAACGTTGGAAAGCTCGCTCGATTAACAGCGCTATTCTCCCATGAGCAGTTCGGTGTTTACGGCGGAAGCAGTGATTATCTCCTCCCCACGCTGCACAGCGGCGGAAGCGGTTGTGTTACAGGGATGGGTAACATTTTTCCATCGAGTACAGCGGGTGTCTATGATTTATGGAAGGCGGGAAAGATTGACGAGGCGAATAAGCTTCAAGGACTTGTCGCTCATGCCGAGTGGGCGTGTAAGAAGGGTATTAGCAATACTAAATATGGAGCGTGGCATTTCCTGGGTAAGGAGATTGGGCTGGATAATGAGACAGCTTGGCATATGAGGAAGCCGTATCAGCCACTTGATGATAAGGCCAAGGAGTGGACGGTCAAGACGCTGAGTGTTCTGGCGGATACGGAGAAGCAATTGAGAAAGCAATAGACTGTGTATTATTGCCATAGTTGGTACATCCCCGACTGAAGTAAAATTCGTGTTCGGTCATTCTCAGTTCGCCGCTGCGGGTAATTCTGATCGATGCGCGCCCCTTGACAAGAATCCATGGGCCCCGACCCTGTCTGGATCAAAGCTCAATGGCAAGACAACAACACGCACCGTGAACAGGTATACGCGTAACTGCTCTGCCTGTAGGTATCTCCAACATGAACTTAGGTTTGTAGAACCTGTTTGACGAAACGCCTTGACGGTTAAGGTCTATTGCAGTTAGCCGAATGCGATGCATTACCTCATCGCCATCTCATGAACGTAGTCCATCTTTCGCATTTGTTCCCAAGATCACAAGCCATCGCGAAAGAAACATTAGTGGACATCACAATAATCGGCCAAATAACCGACACCGACATGATCACATTTCCTGCACTGATGCTGCAATCATCTTTCGATGATGTCTTGGGTGGCACAGATATCACCAAGCGGGCGGCCATCTCCTTCGGTCTTCCCTCCTACTGGCCAGCTAATCCTGCCCTCCAATCCAACACTATCAGTGCGTCTCCAAGCACGACTCATTCAGAACTCTAAACGCGCTAGTCTCTCTCCCCCAGATTCGATACCCCATACCCCGCATTCACTCCCCATGCCAAGTTTTGATCCCATAAAAAGGACTTGATATCCCCGATATTGAAGTCGCCAATCCAGTGATATTTTAATCACCAGGATCAAACAACACTGTCAACACTTGCAAATTTCTGTTTGTGATCATGGCTCTGAGGAACTCCATCTCGGATGAGAAGGATGTCGAGGCTATTGCCTCTCATCTCGATCACGCCAACACTGCGGCTACCAATGGTGGTTTGTCCGCTGAGGACATGGAGTTTGTTGCCAACTTTCCTGAGGAGAAGAAGAAGAAGGTCTTGGCAAAGATCGATGTAAGTTGATTGGTTTCATTCTGGGCAGACAAGATCTGACTTGTTCAGTGGCGACTCATGCCGATGCTGGCTATTCTCTACCTCGTCACGTATATCGACAAAGCGAATATCGGAAACGCCAAGATCGAGGGGATGCTCCCGGATCTTGGTATGAATGGAGAGCAGTACAACATTGCTCTCTCAATCTACTTCATTCCTTGTATGTTCAGCCCTAGAGTGATATTGGACAGTTCTAATTTGGGCAGATATTCTCGCCGAGGTTCCTAGCAATATGATTCTCAACAAGTTCGCAAAGCCTTCTCAGTATATGGCTACCATCATGTTCATCTGGGGTATCGTCGTGGTCTGCACTGGTCTGATTCACAACTTTAGCCAACTCTGCGCCATCCGTATCCTCCTTGGTCTCTTTGAGTATGTACTCACCCGCCATCACACCTTATGTGTGCTAACATCACCAGGGCTGGCTTCTTCCCCGGCGCTATCCTCATCATCTCGAAATGGTATCTTCCCCACGAGACGCAAACCCGAGTCGCAATTCTATATACTTCCGCCGCCACTGGAGGTGCTTTCTCCGGCCTCTTCGCTTACGCCATCGCTAAAATGGACGGAATTGGTGGCCAGACTGGGTGGAGATGGATCTTCTTCATCGAGGGAATCTTTACAATCGTCATGTCCTTCGCTACATGGTTCTTACTCATCGATTCACCCACTCTCTCCTACTGGCTCACCGACGAAGAGAAGCGATATCTCGTTTTGCGCCAAGCTTCGCGAAGAGTCACCAACTCAGGCGAATACCGCGAGAAGACGTTCGACAAGGGAGCTTTGTTCGAGGTTCTCAAGGACTGGAAGGCATATCTTCTCGTCATCATGTCCTGGTCCAACGCGGCACCCAACTACGGTCTCAAGTTCTCCATGCCCACTATTGTCCAGGGAATGGGCTTCACATCCAGCAACGCCCAACTCATGACTATTCCTCCTTATCTCTGCGGAGCTATCTCGTCGTACCTCCTCGCTCGATTTGCTGATAAGCATAAGTGGAGAATGCCCTTCATCGTTGGTCCTCAGCTTTGCATCATCATTGCCTTCTCTATCCTCATGACGAAAGCCGAGTTTATCGTTCAGAACCTCGGAGTGTGCTATTTCGCAGTCTGTCTCGCTTGCGCTGGCATGTATCCCATCTTGCCGGGTACCAGTGCCTGGAATATCGACAATAACCTCAACCCGACGAAGCGAGCCATCAGCATTGGCTTTGTTACCTGCGCGGGTACTATTGGTGGTATCTATGGCAGCTACATCTATATCGACAAGGAGAAGCCTAAATACACGACGGGATATGGTGCATCGCTTGGATTCGCCGTGGCAGGAATCTTGGCCGCTGTTACCCTCGAGACTGCTTTGGTCATGATCAACAAGAAACGGTCGAAGATCAGCGAGGCTGAGGTTCGAAGCAAGTACACAGAGGAGGAACTCGAGATCATGGGCGAGAAGAGCCCCCTATACCAGTACAAGCTGTAGTAGAAGTAGTGATAAGGAATGCTTTCAACATACTTCAATTCATAAAAGTTGCCAAGCCTTTGCTCCTTGCCACAGTGAGGTGAAATAAGTAGGGTCATAGTTAAAGAGAAGTATTTCCTGCGTTAATCCGAACTACCTGTTGAATAGTGTATATCGAAACAAAATTATGTACTTATAAAGGACTATGCACTTCGAAGCTGTGATGTAAGCAGGTATGCACTTATGCCGCTGACATGTCAGGAAATATGCACTTATCTACCCAGGATGTCAGCAGAGATAGATTCTGCAGCCTGGGCCTCAGCCTTCTTTTATCTCAACCTCGCCATCTCATTGACCTACTCCTGAATCTACAGCCCTCTAAGAACTATTATGCGTCTTCTTACGGTTGCCAATGATGGCGAACTGCGCCTAGCTGATTTTGTTGGCGATTACATTCCGCCCTATAGCATTCTTTCGCACACTTGGGGAAAGGACTCTGAAGAGGTGACCTTTCAAGACATGGTTGAGGGTAAAGGGAAGAACAAGCTTGGCTATCAGAAACTCCGGTTCTGCGAGAAGCAAAGTGCAAATGATAACATTCAGTTCTTCTGGATAGATACCTGCTGTATCGATAAAACAAGCAGCGCAGAGCTTTCTGAGGCAATTAACTCCATGTACCACTGGTACCGCGACGCAGATAAGTGCTACGTGTACCTCTCCGATGTATCAATCAACGGTTCTGTCGGAAGCTCCCTATTCTCTCAGCAGACGTGGGAGACAGCGTTCAGAGAGAGCCGTTGGTTTACTCGAGGCTGGACGCTTCAAGAGCTCGTTGCGCCGTCATGTGTCGAATTTTATTCCCTGGAAGGTGAACGACTTGGAGACAGAGCATCGATGATACAGGAGATCGAAGATATCACGGGAATTAATACGGAAGCTCTGCAAGGAAGCCCTCTTTCTCGATTTGGTTTCGAGGAGCGAATGTCATGGGCAAGAGGCCGTGAAACCAAACGTGAGGAGGACGCTGCATACTCCTTACTGGGAGTCTTTGGCGTACATATGCCGCTTGTATACGGAGAGGGACGGAGAAATGCATTCATTCGACTTCAAAGAGTGATTCAAGAGTCTGCAAGGAACTTTGGGTCTGAAGGTTTTCATTTCATCTTGCAGAGGGGTACAGCATTGCACGAGACCGACGAGGCGTTCAGATTCCTTATGGGAGATATGAACAGAGATGGCTGTCCAGATTTGGTCGCTATCAAGTCGAGAGACACTACTAGCAGCATGATTGAACTCAGCGTCTTTTCTGGAGCTTCACTATTCAGGACATACATCTCAGAAACAGTAATTGGCCTGCCAGTGACAACGGCGACACATTATGATTTCGCCTTGGCAGACTGGGACGGTGACAAGGTTTTGGATCTCGTCGTCATCAAGAAAGGCAGCACCGATACCAAGACCACCGAGGTCTACATCCTTTCAGGCGCTTCTAATTTCCAAGACATCATTCTACAAACCAGGACCGCGCTGCACGAGACTGATGATACGTGGGCCTTCTCAATGGGGAGATGGAACGCTGGCAGGAAGCCCGACTTATTCGCCATCAAGAAATCCAGCACAGGCACTAACAGTACTGAAGTGCACATACTGTCCGGGGCGTCGGGCTTCCAGAAATTCATTCTACAAACAGGCACTTGCTTGCATGAAACTGATGATGCGTTCGACTTTGCCGTCGCAGATTGGAACGCTGACGGCTGCCCAGATCTGGTTGTGGTATGGAAGAGCAACAATAGCAATCGCTACTCTCTACTGCATGTGCTCTCTGGTGCTTCGACCTACCAGGACTTTATGCTGCACGCGGAAATACCACTCCTTGACACTCTCGGCATGTACGAGTTCATGGTCACTGAGTGGACGCGCAATGGGAGACTGGACTTAGTAGGAATTCGGAAGAGCGAAACTGGGACTAATAGCACAGAAGTGCATATCATGACGGGACTATAGTAAGACAAAGACGCAGGTTTAGAAATAAGGTCGCTGATATATGATGTCTCTTTAATGTTGATGTGACACATTGGAACATGAAATGGTGCATAACTAAATGACCTATAAACTCAGAATACCTCTGGCCAGAACCGATTAACGAAGTCTTGTACGCCTGAGGTGGATAAAGAAATTCACAAAGTCGCGAAAGTCAATAACGGCACATTCATTCTTATCACGCTTTTCCGCTGTCAACCAAGGATTCTTGATATCCGGTTCCCTATTTCCGAGATAAGCGTTCATTAGCACAGAGTAAGTTGAAACCAAAGGTGACATTACACAGGAGTATCAATAATCTGTAACTAGGAAGGACCATGTTAATGGAAACTGTTGCGGTAAGTCTGCCGGGGTCGGCTGTGGTGTCTTTCTCGAAGGTGAGAGCTGTAAGATGAAGGGCTATGATATGTGGAAGTGATACCAGATGATTCATAAAGACGGGTCTTATAAGAAGTGCGGCTACGTTGAGTATAAGAACGGCTGCACACTCAAGATTGACTATGTGACGGGATGCAATAATCCTGGGTCAGCTTATTCAGTAAGGAGTGTATTGAGTCTTGAAGCATCTGTTGGTGGTATCGCTGTCTTACCTTTGGCGGGAGTATAAAAGCTAGAAGAGGAGGAATTGCTAATAAGACCTATAAATGGTTATGTTAGTGACACTCTGGCAGCGATCAGATGCAGAACTTGTCTACTTTTATCCTACTCTGACACCAGCTCCGCGATTTTACGAGGAACGCCTTGAAGTCAGCGCCGCGATCCATTTCGGCCGGAAAAATAGCCTTCCGGGTCGAATCATCCTAAGGAATAACTACATCAGGATGGAATACCCCGCACGAAAAGAATAAGAAATCATTCCCGACCTATTACTCTTCCAAACGCAACCAACATTGCGATACACATATCACAATTCTTATGAGCCGCACCTCTAACATATTGCTTGGGCCTATTCTCTACCCTACTGACAGATAATGAGCGCCTCCACAGAGCAGCAAAATGAAATTGCCAAGTTGGTTGAGCAACACGGAGCAGTTCCTCCACCCTGGTTCATGTTTCTAAAACAACATCCATACAGCATCGGGTGGCGCATGGGTGCTGGTGAATCTTATATCATGATGTATTGGACTTGGTGGGGGCAACAAAAAGAGAAGCTCGACGAAAAGCAGCGAATTGAGTATTTCCGCAGATGGCCTCCTCCACCCGAGTGGCTCATTTGGATGATAGAAGCAATCTGGGATCTTGACCCCAAAGACTTTGAGGACGACGACGATTACTCGCCCTATTTTAAACGCACCGAGACACTTGGTTTTGGGTCTGAGGATGATTATAAGAATGCTATGCGTGATGGGGAAGAGTAAATTTGGAGCAACGATACACCGTAAGCTTCCGTCCACGCGACGCATCGGTGTTTGAGACCTGCGAAGCTATGGTAATGGCTCGGTTCGGCCGGAAGAATACGAGGATACACTGACACTTTTCTGGTTTCTAAAAGGGTCGTATGTATCCAGCTATTTCCCGTCAATTCGCCGTTATATCCCAGGCAAAATCAAGCCTGCTCAAGAAAGGTTATCGCAACTAAATAATAAGAAATTAAAAGAAAACAAAATTAATCAAGTCACAATCTCCAACTGTCAATCGGGCCTTGTTATTTTATCAATTTGGCAACCACATTATCTTTAGGAAAGGCTATTAATCCCTACAGTCTCGCTCCCACCTAAGCTGGATCTCTAACGTCTCTTGCCGCGGTATCTGCCGGAAGATAACAGTGGCATGGAAGTACGTTTATAATAGTTTGGGTTTCATCGATAAATATATATCTTCTATTAAATTTATTTACCGAAATTGTGAAGAAAAAAGCCAGTACACTGTGTAAGAAGTCTAGGTAAATGGTATTAAGCGTGGCATAACATAACGTACAGGAGCTTGGCCAGCTTCATACTACTAACCAAAGGTACCTTCATACCTCTAAGAGAAATAAACCTATGTAGCCTGGTCAATGTTGAATGTTATTATTAACCTTTACTCCGTCGGGTCAGGAATAGGCACAGCCTGTCCACGCGTGAAAGAAACGCCATCGAGGTAAAAGACAGGGCCGAGGCCTTGGTTCTGCGTGATCGTGATGCAAAGATCAGTAGAGTCAATGCTCGGGCCGGTATATGAGAAGGTGTAAGAAAAGTCGTTGTAGGTATTATACCCAACAATGCCATGATTACCGGAGTCATATACCCCATCAATGGACAGTTCAGTGGTATTGATGTTGTCATCGCAGACCAGTATGTTTGAGCCATACTCTTTGATGCAGTTCTGGAGGACCTGCGCTTTGAAGGTATACTCAAAGCCCGCCTCGACTGCGACGCTCTGGCAGACCTTGGCGGAATTGGCAAAGTTTCCAGGCAATTGCCTATGAGAAATTAGTATGCATCCTTGAGGTTTTTCAAGCTTTGATAATACGTACAGACACTTGCTGCCCTCGGCGCACCAAAACTGGCTACGGTAGACTGCCGGAGAGGCTCCTTGTACAACCCAAGGATCGATGGTCTCGTCTTCGAAACCACCATTCACGGCGAGGTTAGTAATCACGGGAGGGCCAGCTGTAGTCGTGGTGGCTTCGATCGTCGTGCTTGTGGCTTCGTCGGTGGTTGTAGAGGTCTCGGTCTCTTGGGAAGTGACAGCAGTCGTAGTCACGAGCATCGTAGTAAAAGAGCTGATACCATCGGTCGTGGTGGCCGAAGATTCAGCAGTAGTCTGAGACTCAGCAACAGTCGAGCTCTCTTGAGAAGTCAAACTGGAAGTAGTTGTGTCGAGTTCTGTAGCGGCAGAGGATTCAACAGTGGTCTGGGACTCAGTGACACTCAAAGTCTCTTGAGAGGTCAAGCCAGAAGTCGTCGTCTCCAGTTCTGTAGTGGCGGAGTCGGCTGTAGAAGTCTCTACAGTGACCGAGGACTCAATGCTTGACGTCGAGTCGGTAATGCTTAGAGTCTCTTGAGAAGTAGTCGTTGTGGCGGCGCCTCCAGCCGTTGTAGTGCAAATTTCGCTGCTGAATGACGATGTCGTTGTCGGCCGAGGATGAGGGGCGCAAGCCTAAAACTGTAAGCTTCCACTTGGGGCGTCAGGGGGCGTTCCAGGGCACTTACGCGAGCGGCGCAGAGGCCCGCGCCCAAGATTAGAGAGCCAAAGGTAGTTGTAACACGCATCGCGAACAGACTTAAAAAGAACGACTGGAATTAAAAACGAGTGACTGACAAGTGGCAAGCAAAGAGAAAGAAATTAGAAGAAGCAAAAGAGCGAATTGTTCTCTTTATTATCGTGTTAGGCTTCCTCAAGAGCTGACAGCCAACCGAGCTGGAACTATTGGCTTTAGGGCGCGCTACTTGAGCAGATGTAGCTAGCAGATTCAATAGTCTCCATAGACCCTGCTGTTTTTTCAGGGGTAATGCAGGTCCAACGAGCACCTAATTTTAGATATCAATTGTTCTTCCGGGTAGGGAAATGCAATAAGAATCGTATCTCCATCACCATCATGAGCCAGTGCTATAATATATTTCTTATTTTAATTTTTATTACCAGTTTCTCATCAGCTCTTAAATCAGTATTATTCTTATTTGAGTCGCTTATGGATAGTGCGTTGTTTGCTATAGCGGGATGAGATTGTATGGTAGAGTGGTATTGACCTTGAACCATATTTTTTTTTTACTTACCTGGGGAGTTTAAAAGCTGGTTCAAGGTATAGTGAGACTTGTGGCTGACAGCTTAAATCAGCATAGAGCATATGTAGCTACTCTAACTAACCCTATGTAGGGTGAAGACTTTGGGGGACATTCAAATGATGGAATTGCCCCGCATTCATTCACCTATGACGCCAACATCACTGATCTCATCTCTACCGCTAATCTCTTTGCCCTTTCCGTCTTCCCTCGCCATCGTTGCCCGTCGGACAGGAATTCCTGACACGGTGATTGCTTTGCTCACTGCCGGTGCAGAGTGGGAAGAGGTACCGCTTAAACCCACCTGTTCACGTCTATATTCCTAAGTTGATTTCATCGCAGCTTGTTGTCGTTATTGCTATCGCTACCACACTGCCGGAGAAATTTATTGCTGTCCTGAGCGGGAACCGGGGCCATGTAGGAATTCTTGTGGCTAATACTGTGGGGAGTAATGTCTTCCTCCTGTCGCTTTGCCTGGGTATTGTTATGGTTGATACCTCTGGGAATTTTGATGGGGGCAACATCGACGTCCCTGAGCTATTTGTACTCTGGGGCTCCACGCTAGCAATCACAATAACCGATGTGGTATGGCGAAAAGTTTGATCCTTCGATCGGAGGAGTTATGTTATCTGCTTATATTGTACTTATAGTCTCGGAGTTTACAGTCATCCGTCATAATGCAGATTCGCTACAGCTGTCTTAGTCAAATGGAATGAAATGCTTAGCAAGCCAGAAATGTCATAGGAAGATCTGACTAAACGCGCATCAAGTGTATGTAAATTGGTATACTACCGGTGACTCGGGAACAAAAATAGGCAAGGCAGACTTAAGCTCCAATAATCGACGTAGATCGCCCGGGAATGAATCCGCCTCAAGCGTCTTGGCTCCCTCATGAGGGATAGGAGCAATAGCCCGCACCACCAAGACCAAGGCGAACCAAGGTGATAGTCATCGCGATGTCGCTATATAAGGGTGTGAACTGTCCGGTACACTGGACTGGCATGATTCTGGTCCCATTCAGTCATCCAACAAGAGATAATTAAACCTTGAATATCAGTGCCCAAACCTCCAATGCAAATATTCCATTTCAACGCGCTGAACACTAGAATCTCCTTCTCAGACTTGTCCAGTATGTCTACCTACTCTTCACACTGAAAAGAATATTGTAATCGCACAGCAAGCTCTGTGTAAGCAGCATCAAAGGCCTCAAGGATATAAGGGGTAATCTTTACTAAAAGTACAGCCTTCCATCTTGTGGCACCTCTACTGCATGATGAGAGAAACCGCAATGGTCCGTAAGCTCCCGACTAAATCCTTCTCTTTGACACCACATTACACCCCATTGAAGTGGAAATAACGATGCTTCTGGTGATGGGATACCGTCTGGCTGGTGACAAGCAGCTGAAATCGCCAGACTGCAACTTGCAGCTACAGGCATAGCAGTCGGTAGACGACGGCATGCAGTTATCATCACCGCCGCAGCCATGAAAATGGATGTAACTATAACGAAGATGATAGCAATTGGAGAATACCCACAGGTCAAGAGTGACCAATCCCAGTAGTCTGGCCTCATGATATCGCGTGTTTCAACGGCAACGATGAAGATGCTTTGCGATAACATCCAGTGCATTAGGATGGAGACGAGGAGAAGTGGGATGCTAAAGCGATATGGAAGTTGGAGAAAGTAGCGAGAGCGCTGCTGACCTCTTGGGTTAGAGGAAACCCGCAGTGGATTTCTCTTGCGGCCGAAGTCACTCCATTCCTTCGCCGCAGCCATGCAAGTAAACAGGCCATTGTACTGAAAGTACAAAAGTGAGAAAACCAGCTGAGGAAGGTTGGAAACAAGGACGTTCCAGAAGAGACTCTCATCACCCTCATCCTCCCAGCCAAATCCAGTTATTATAGTAAGCTCAGTTGCAGCTCCAAATCCCAGATCCCACAGGCTTTTAATATCATGGGGTCCTGGAAGCTCTCGAATACCCCATGCCAGGAGGAAACAGCTGACACCGAATGCTACTCCGTACCTAGATTGAAAGCATTAGCACAGGCTCAACTATCCGCGGCTGGATATCTTACATGGCAAAACTGAAGAACCAACGCCTTCCAGTAACTGCAACTCCACGTCTTCTACACTTCGTGTGCATAGTGCAAGGTCGAGTGAATTGACCGGCCCGGGCGGTACGCGCCGATGCTAAGCAGTTTCCGCGAGAATTCTCATCGGGTACAGTCAAAAATGACTGAATGGCATCTCCAAGGATAAATAGCGGTTCCTTCGGAGGTCGTAGTGCGATGAATGCCAGTGTAATTGCCTTGATAAAGTTGACCCCAAGTATAATTGCCGCAAGGTAGACATCAAAGTTCAGTCGGCATCTTTGTGGTGCTGGTTGGCTAAGGCAATATTCAACCCGATTATCCCATGGCCTCCAATTATCAGATTGGCGTCTGACTTGAGGCAATTGGAGGCGGCATGGGACATCGCAACTGACTTCAGGACAAATCCAGTCATAGTCTACTTCGGGGCAGGTAGCTCGTCGAATGTTATGAAGTGCGGCTGGCTGTGCATCAAGGGCTCTTTTTGATACTCCAGACTGTGAAGTATCGACGACAACCAATAAGTCACTCCTTCTTGTCAGGAAAGCTACACCGTACTCGTTGATGCACTCTAAGGCGGTAAGGTTATCGAGCTTGCTGGTGTTCATGTTTCTTGACTTGAATCGGTTCAAATCATAAGAATCTGCAAAAAACTCTCCGCCCCGTTTGCTGAGCAGTCGGAGCTTCTTGTCCACAGTGAAGACTTCATAGTCGTAGGTTGTTAAGGACGAAAAGACTACCGAGTTAAATCTAAGTATCATCAGTCCTTAATATCTCTACGCCAGTATCAGTAGACTTACAAGAGGTGCAGTGGTAATGAAGAGAATACTAGCAGCCACCAAAGTATAGCTCTACTTTTGGCTACTTTTCGTAGGTTATGGAAACTGGGAATCCCGATATCAACCCATGTTTGGCGCGTGTGGGCTCTATCGACATCAGCCCTAGTTGGTGCCGACAGGCATTGCATACCATAATTGCTGGCTGCAAGAAGGATCGAACCGAAAATGTTAATGACAAGATGGATGGCGATACTTAATTCACGGGTTGTCGAGCATGACCCTTCGTAGATGATTCTTCGACTGGTTTTTTTGTCATCCTGATTACCCTGGAGTGTCAAGGTTGACCAGATGGTGACGCCAAGATTGACAATAAGAACGGCGATACAGGCAGACGCACCAGCTATGAGACTGACCTTCCAGTCATCAGTCTTTGAGCCTCGCGTGGCATCGTCAACAATGGCCCTCCTCACATCGTTGTCGGGATTGAGAAGTCCGTTGTTCTCGCCCGGATTTTGCTTGGTCATTCTTGCCAGAGTAATTAAAGGTAGGGGAAGGAAAAAGGGGGAGATAGTTTGTTTTCTTCTTGTGTAGCAGACAGTAATTCTTATGGAAAGAAAAACGGTTCAAGATGAATATTCCTGCACTTACGTCTCAATGGTCAGTTGTCTAAGACATTGGCTAGTTGTGGCTGGCTTTAGTGGATTGAAACAATATGTGGCGTTTAGCTGAAAAAAGATGGCTTTATCTTGTGCTGTGAGCAGCCTAGCCCTTTCTGCTTGGTCAGATTCGATCTACTGTGTGATTTAGGTAACTTGATAAGGTAAAACCAACCGCCACCTTCAATTGAAGAGAATAAGGCTCTTTCAGTTAAAGCTGGAATGCTCGGTGTGACCAATCTACTCATTATCCAAACTTTATCTATCCAATTACAGACCAATAGTCTGATTAAACTGATATCTAAGAGTACAATTCAGTTGTAAATAATACTCCAGTGGAAGTTTCCAGTATGACAGTACCTTCTCAGCAGGGTGGTATTAGTGGCGTTCACTACATCTGCGACTATTGACGTGATAATGCATCACCTGGAAACATGAGCGCCTCAACTCGCAACGAGGTTGAAAAGCGGAGAAATCCAGTCCAACACGACACTAATCACTTCCCTAAATGGTAAGATAGCACTGGCGAGGTCTCAAACCATCCATTTTGAGTGAACTGTGCGAGAGACATATCTGTGCCCCGTGTTTGACCGCTATCACAAGGCATCCATTTCTCAGGCCAGACCTCTTAATATACCTGAAGTGGCGCCCAGCTGAACCACCATTTCGTCACGGCTGGAATGATCTTATTCTTGGACTGGAACGCCCGGGAAGAGAAGGAAGCAGATTAACCCAGAGAGAAGAAAGACAACTTGGCATTAGTATAGCTACACTGTGTAAACGGCTTCCATAAGCAACAGTCTTGATTTCTGAAGTTTTCGGTGATATTAGGCTTGGGCTAAGAGATTTTAATCTCCTCTGCCGAGATAAACTTGGCCTGGTTTAATATGTCGTGTGCGCTCCTCTCTCGTCTCTTCCAGGATAGATATGACTGTCACGGGGCCAATCCTGTGCCTCTGCAGTA